TTTCCTCTGACTCTATTCTTAGGGCTTCAATCCCTTTTCTTCTCCCTCTACTATCCTTGAAATGAGAGCTTCGCACCTGGGGTTCAACATCATAACTACAAACAAAATTCGGAAATGCTAGGCTTTTAGCTTTGATCCAAACTCCTTCTGAACTGCAGCCAAATTAGCAACACAATGTGTGCAAATACAATTTTATTATTCTCTAAAAGTGATCATTTGACATAGACAATTGTTAAATATATGGCATCTTTAACTAGCAAGGAATCTGATAACTCTCAGAGTACTTTGAGACATGCCACAGTGCTCTATGCTCCCTGAGTCTAGAACTTTTCCTGTCCTAGTTTGGTTCAAACGTGTTGTGTTTTGGTGTCCTTTGTTAGGCTTTAAGGTGCATAAGGGCAAAGGACAAATTGATTTCCTCCATGGTAACATACTAGGCACTTCACAAATATGCCTTAAATGAGCGAGTTTACTATTGCCACCAATTTGGCTCTAGTTTTCAGAGCCAGGTTTTGTTTTTAATTTAGAAAAGCCATTCTTTTGCGCGCACACACACACACACCGAGAATGACTGACATAATTTCTGTTTCTTACTGTGTTATTATTACTCTTGAGAGGCAAGTCCTGCTTTGATCAGAATCATCACGATTCCTTTTTTCTGGAATGAGACATTTCTAGAGCTAGGCTTTCCCCAGTGCCTACTTCAGAATCACGAGTAGCAAGGCACAGGGCCCCCCCTTAATTGCTCAGCACAGCAAGTGAAAGTTATGCCTATGCTGTGGGCAGTTTCCATATCCTTTACATGTCCTAAAGAGGAGGTAATAATGGTTTCCTGCCTCATAGGGATGTTATGAAAATGACTTGATCAATGAAAATGTTGGCTCAGTGCCTGGCATAGAGAAAGTAGGAATGTTCAAATCAGCGGGCTCACTCGAACCCACCCACTAATCAAGGAAGGGTGGTTCCTGATTCTTTACCCGGAGGGGCACTAGCAGCCTAGCTTTCCTTTTTCAGGTAACCTCCCGCGACTCCATAACCAATGTATGGGTCTTCCTCCTCTGAGAAATAATAGTAATAATAAAACCCCAGCCATTTGTGTGCAAATGGCTATGTATTTTTTCACCTTAACTTGTTACTGTTAGCCCTTCATCCCTTTTTAAAAATTTTAATTTTTTTAACAGACTCACTCCCTACAGCTTGCTTGGATGCGGAGTTTATATAGATTTAATTTAGCATTTTCTCAAGCACTGGGCTTTTTTTCTGGCAGAATTTTTCAAAGGGCCGAAACGTGATTTTCTGTCTGAATATTAAAAAAAAACAACAAAAAAAAAGATGTTTACATGACAAATAATTTTTACACGTGCAAAAAAGTAATTTTTAAAAGTAAGCACTTTTGCCAGGTGATGCTTGATAAGTCTGTCCTAATGGTATTTATCTTAATGCTTACTTTCAGAAACAGTGGATAATACTGTATTCAGTTCTCCTGACAACCCCATGAAACAGGTAATGTCATTAGTCCCACTTTCCAGAGAAGATGAAGGCACTTGCCTTCGGAGAAGATAGGTAACTTGCCTGAGGTTGCACGGCCAATATGTAGCTTAGTGGGAGTTTAGTGCTAGGCTATTGAATTTCACAGCCTGTCCTCCTAAACTGCTATATTATACTGACTCTCATAGGTATTAATGTTTTATCAAGCTTAATATAGTATAAATTGTCATGCTTAGGGATGCAGCCTCAAAGAGTAGAAATTCAGACATTTCTGTTCTTCAGATATCAGGACAATTGGGGACCAGGAGGCCAAAAGAGGGTATGGTTTAGGGATTCATTCGCAAATGTAGAATTCTGGTTATCAGGCCAACTGTAGTTGAGGAGAATGTCTTCCCAGCATCCAAACCACTCATTTGCCTAACGATTAGACTGGCCCTTGGGAGCACTGTTCTTCATCAGTCTCATTGCCACAACCATTGTCACTAGCTCCCATTGCTCTCAGCTCAGCCCAAGTCTTTGTATTGTTCAGGCTGTGCTGTGGGCCCTGCTCTAAAAATAGCACATGGCAAAGAGGCCTGCCTTGTAGTTGCAAAAGTGGTGTAGGGTTTGAATTCCCCATGATGAGCTAATTTGGGGCCCAATACAAAGAAGATTTTTGGAAAACTTTTCAAAATATCTCATCTGCTGTGACTACCAAGCATAATGGCATGGGGATGGGGGCAGGGAAGAATACCTTCATGATATAAACTAATGTGCATACATTTGAAATGCACAAAAAGGTAGTTGTGTCACATGTGACAACTTGACCTGGTAATGAGATTCTGGGGCATCAAATCCATGCTAGTTGTAAATGGTGTATTTGCCATGTGCCGCCTTTGGATTAATTGGCACCCATAACATAAAATAAGTTGTTTCCTGAAATGTAAACCTAGCAATTAGCGCTTCATCAAGTCCCTATCAGATGTTGGCAAAATAATTGGTTTTGCAGTTTTTTTTTTTTTTACTCAAAACAGGTCTGACAGTACATATTGGTGGCATTCACAGCAACATCACTGTAATAAACTTCAGCTGCTGTTGGGCTCTTTGTATGTGGTACAGTTACTAAAGCGAGAGTCTGGAATTACCGTTTTCTGTTAGGCACCCTGGTAAGGGTGCCTAAGAGGATGCCTAAATCCTGGTTATAGTCAGTAATACAAATTAACTCAGGTAAATGTTTTTAATCACCATTTCTTATAGCTGATTATTCAGCTCATTAACTCTGAACATAAATCTGGACCTTGGAAAACAACATTTGTTTTACGTTACCTTTTTGAACACAATGGTGGTTCAGGTAGAGAAATGACTTGTTCTCTGACTGGTGACTTTGGTCCCTGCATCAAGGAGTGGCAGAGGTCTTAAAAGAAAAAAAAAGGAAAAAGAAACCTGATGAAATTCAAGACGTTTTCTCCCCACTGACCAGTTGAAAAGGAAAAGGAACTATCTGGACACAGTAAATGAATGAAATATTAGGCAATTGTTAAAAAAAAAAAAAAGGAAAGAAAGAGAAGGAAAGAGCTGTATATTTAGCATATAAATATGTCTAAAATCTATTATTCAGCAAGCAAGTCATAGTGTTGTCAGTCTAATTGTGTCCTACTGTAGTAAAAATGAAATAGAAATGAAATAAAACAGCAAGAACAAAATCTCAGCCTGTGCTTAAAATATGATATACAGAGAAAAAATGTCTAGGAAGGTGGATATACATTAAACTGTCACCAGTGGTTCTCTCTGGAGTAAGAATTTTGGAGCGCTTTTACACTTCCTACATTTCAGTGACACCGATTTTTATATTGTTTGGTTATTTTTACAAGAATATAGTAAATTTTAATGAGAAAAACTAAGTCAATATACAGATAATATATTAAAAATATATACGATGGTATCACTACCCTTAGGGAAAACTTTTCTCATAAATTATATACAGCGCTAATTTTTTCTGTTACATTTAACATGTGTTTCATTATTTTAAAACAACCTTATATATTTTGCATATATGAGAATAAATACAAGGAAGATATTTATGATGGTTGAGTCAGGCTTTTGAGGGAAACTTGTGACTTAGAAATATAAGCATTGGATATACAGTAACCCTGGATTTAAGACACGAATGGAGAATAATAGCTGATTAACAGGGAAAAATATAATCTTTCCAGCCCTTGACTAGTACACAAGAAAGACATTTGTTTATTCATTCAATAAATACATTATTCAGAAGCTTACCTCGTGCTATGCACTTTGCAGATGGCAGAGGCGTTCGCAGTCTGGTGGGGAAAAGAAGCGCAAAATAAGCTAATACATGAACAAGTATATAATTAAATATTGTTCTAAGAATTATAAAAGATATTAAAAGAGAGATAGTGTAGATCATATGAACAGAGAAAATCTCTTTGACAAGTAATAAGCAAATGGCAACCTAGAGAATAAGAAGGAGCCAGGACTGAAAAGAACAGCAGGAAAAATATTCCCAACAAAGAGAACAGCAGGGCCAGGTCTGAGCTAGGAAAGAAGGTGGAGTTTTTTGGAACCCAAGAAGCACTTGCACCAACAGTTCTATGAATGAGGAGGAAATGATTTAGAATGGGGTTTTATATTTCAAAATAACTAGAAGAGTGGAATTGGAATGTTCCTAACACAAAGAAATGATAAATGTTTCAGGTGACAGATATTACAGTTACCATGATTTGATCATTACAGTGTATGCTTATTTCAAAACATCACATGTATCCCATAAATATGTACAACTGTTATATAGCCGCAAATTTTTTTTAAAGTTTTTAAATTTACAAAATAAAGAAACAGACAAATAAAAGAATGGGATTGAGAGAGCCAGCAGTCAGCTGATACAGCACCTTTAAGGTGAGGAGTTTGATTTTATTTAGAGTAGAAGGAGTGGCCATGGAAATATTTTAGGCAGGGGCATAGCAAGATACCGTTTGTGTTTTTAAAAGATCATTCTGGCTGCTGTGTGTCAAGGAGGCTATTCTGCTGTCCAGATGAAACATCGAGGTGGCTTGAACTTAGGGTGGTGTTTGTTAGTATCGGTGGCAAGAATCAGACACACGTAAAGTACATTTTAAAGGTAGAATTAATAGAACATGATGAGGTATGTTATGATGGGGATGAGAGTAAGGGAGTATCAGGAATGAATTTGAAAATTATAATACAGATATTTCTATCTCCTATATACAAATAACATCCAGATAAAGCATATAAAATAATAAAATCTCCATAAACAACAACAACAAAATCGCTGGGAATAGACATGACAAGATACTACATAGCCTATATGAATTATGTTTTAAAACACTAATGAAGACCTCAGAGGAGATGTGAGTAAATGGAAAGACACTGTATGCTTAGGATGACTGGATATCACAAAGATGCCTGTTCTTTCTAAGACAGTTTATAAAATGACGAGAAATAAAAATACCAACAATTTATTTCTGTTATTTCATTCTGTTTGAATGAGACTAATTAATTCAAAATTTTATTTGGGAAGATAAACAAAAACATCTCAAAAAACTTTGAAAATGAAGAACGATATGGAAAATCTAGCATTAATGCCAGATATTAATAGGGAATTTAGAGCCACGATAAATAAGTAGGGTGATACTGGATTGTAAATGGACAGAAAACCCAATGGAATGGAGTAGAAAATCCAGAAAGAGATATAACTGTGAGAATTTAGTTTCTGATAGAGATGGCTTCTCAAACTGATTGGGAAACTATAGACTACCCAATATATGCTACCAGAAATGAGTTGGTAGCCATCTGGTAAAACACATACCCACACAAATAATCATAAAGTTGAATCTGTACTTCATACTTTAAGTACATACTTGACCCATATCAAATGGATCAATAAATAAATGTAAAAAATTAAACCAAAACTGATTTAGAAGGAAATAGAAAGGAATAATTACTTTACATCTGTGGCATAAGGAAGGACTTCTAACTATGACTCAAAATTCACAAGCCATAAAAGAAAAAAAATGTTATATTTAACTGCATTATAAAACAAACACATTCTGCATGATAAGAAACATTATGTCTTGGTCCATTTTGTGTTGCTATCACAGAATACCACAGACTGGGTAATGTATAGTGAATAGGAATTTATTGGCTTATGGTTCTGGAGGCTGGAAAGTCCAACATTAAGGTGCCAGCATCTTGAGAGGGTCTTCTTGTTGTGTCATGACATGGCAAAAGGCCAAGAGAGGGAGGAGAGAGAAAGAGAAAGGAGATTAAACTGCTCCCTTTTATAATGAACCCACTCCCTTGACAACAGCACTATCTGATTCTCTCTGTCCTCGTGACCTAATCCCTTCTCATGAGGCCCCACCTCCCAGTGCTTTTGCATTAGGGATTAAGTTTCCAACATATGCTTTTTGACGGACACATTCAAACAACAGCACATCATAATCAAAATTGAAAGTTAAATGACAAGCTGAGGAAAAAATATTTTCAGTTCATAGCACAAAGAGAGATTTTTCCTTTAATTTACAATAAAAACCTGCAAGAGATACTAATTGACGGCTCACAAGAAAGGAAATACAAACAGCACACACTTGTGAAAAGGTGCTCATAAAACTATACCAATGTGAGCTTTTCAGGAACCAAATAGGCAAACTATAAAGTTTGAGAAACACAGTCGATTACTAAGGCTTTGGGGGAACTCTTAGGCATTGTTGAGTGAGTAAGTTGATATAACTTCTAAGGAGGCAATTTGACATTTATCAAAACTGCAAAATCATATACTCCTTGACCCAGCAGTCTGTATTATATATATCACATATAATTGCACATGTGGAAAGTGGCATGCACAAGGTTCTTTACTGCAGTATCATTTCTAATGTCAAAAACAACGAAAATCTAAACTATAGCAGACTGATTGAACAAATCAGGAGTTAAGCAGACAATGAAATATAAGGCATCTGCAAAAAGAATGTATATATAAAAACTGGAGAAAAATAGTATTACATAATTTTATTTGTGTATATATTCTAAAGAAACTCTGAAAGGATATGTAAGAAACTAAGGATAGTGGTTACTGTATGAGGAAGATGGGGAACTGGGAAGATGGGGCATGCATTAATTTGCTAAGGTTGTACATTAGGGATTAGTCATGCTTCTCCAAAGAAACAGAGCCAACAGTGTGTGTGTGTACACACACACATTTATACACTTATATGTGTATGTGTGTGTGTATACATGTATATATGATTTATTCTAAGCAAGTGACTTACATGATTATGAAGGATGGAAAGTCCCTAAATCTGCTGGGTGAATTGGCAAGCTAGAGACCCAGGAGAGCTGATTGTATAACACCAGTTTAGGTCAAAAGGCCTGAGATCCAGGAGGGCCAAAGGTGGATTTCCCATCTGAAGGCTGGCAGGCTGGAGACCCAGGAAGAAATGATGTTTCAGTTGAGTCCTAAGGTATGAAAAAGCCAATGTTTCAGTTTGAAAGCTGTCAGGCAGGAAGAATTCTCTTACTTGCAGAAGGCATAGCTTTTTCGTTCTATTCAGGCCTCATTAGGTGAGGCTCATCTACATTAAGGAGTGGGATCTGATTTATTCAGTCTACTTATTTAAATGTTAAATGTTAATTTCACCAAAAATGTTATTATAGAAACACCCATGATGGTATTTGAGCAAATATCTGGGCACTCTGTGGCCCAGTCAAGTTGACACATAAAATTAAACATCACAGGCTACCATAACAAAATAGCACTGACTAAGTGGCTTAAGCAACAGAAATTTATTTTCTCATAGATCTGGAGGCCAACTCTACTATCAAAGTGACAGCAGAGTTGATTTCTTCTGGGGCCCCTCTCTTTAGCTTGCACACAGCCACGTTTTTGTGCATCCTCATATGGCCTTTCCTCCTGGCTCTTCATCTTGTTTTAAGGACACTAATGTTGGATTGGGGCCCCACTCTTATGATCTAATTTAATCTCATTACCTCCTCAAAAGTCCTATCTCCACATGCAGTCACATTGGGGGTTAGGGGTTAGAATTTATTCCAACACATGAACTCTGTGGGAAACACAGTTCAGTCCATAGTAGGGCATAAGGGTGGGAGAGAGACTGTCATTGTTCAGCTTTTTGTACCTTCTTGGTTTTAAGCTTCCTGAAGGCATTATGTATTTTAAAAGATCTTAAAAATAAACTCCAAGTTTCTGCTTCCAGCAGCTTGGAGGATGGTGTCATTCACTGGGATGGAGAAGACTGAGGAAAAAAATGTTTGATAAGGCGGGAATAGGGCGGAGATATTGGACAGACACTGTAGTGGAATGTCAGTGAGGCAGTTGGTGTCCAGGAGAGGAGTCTAGGTTGGAGGTGAGAGAAAAAGGACTTTTCTGTATGGTTACTAAGTCAGGGGGAATGCATCAGATCACCCTAGGTGGTGGTTCTCAAACTTTATTTGGCATGCATCAGAATTATCTGAAGGGCTTGTTATAACATAAGTTGTACAGCCCCATCCTCCAGAATTTTTCATTCATGATGTCTGGGGCAGGGCCCAAGAGTCTGTACTTCTAACAAGTCCCAGGAGATACGAATACTGCTGGTTGGGGAGCTCCACTAGGAGAACCACCAGCCTAAGTCAATGATTCTCTGTTCTAGCCTCACATTAATGTGACACAAAGAGTCTTGAGGAAAAAAAATATGATTATGTGGAACCCACTCCACTGCAGACCAGCTAAGCAAGAACCTCTGAAGAGTGGGTCTGGGCACTAGTTATATTCAAAAGCTCTCCCATTAATTCTGATATGTAGCTTGGGCTGAGAGCTTCAGACCGAGGGAAAGATGCCAGAGAAATGAGAGAAGGCCAAGAATAAAGGCTTTAGGACGTCTGCCTTCTAAATCATTGGTAGGCAGAAAGGAACCAACCAAGAGATTGAGAAGTAGAAAGATATTGGGAAACCCAGGACCTATACTCTAGTGTCATGGAAGGCAATCATTAAGTCCCACCTATCTACGCTGGATTCTTGTCACACAGATACAAATGAGATCTACACAGCCTTCAAGAGCTTCCTTAGCGTTAAGGGCCAAGATGCTCTTTTAAAGAAGTGATGGCATAATCAATTCACTTCTTGATGTATGCCCTAGAGGGATACTTTCTTATGTGCTCAAGGACTCATGTCAAGGATGTTCATAGCAGCATTGCTTATAAGAGTGAAAATCTGGAGACTGCCTGTCCTCATTCAAAGAATGTCTACATTATATAAAATGGCACGCTCATATATTGAAACACTATACAGCAGCTCAAAAGAGTGAACCAGGTATACATCAGCTTTCAAGATCTCAAAAAATATTGTTGATGATAAAAAAGAAAGTTGCATTTTGATATGTATATCGTTTATAGGAAAAATAACATACATACACATGTTTGTGTATAAAGATATAAAAAAGGTCTAGAAGGAAGTACTCCAAATTCTTAGCTGGTGAACAGAAGAGAGGACGCGTTTGCGAATGATAGGTAAAAGGCACTTTAGATTTATTTGTAATGCTTTTAAAATTGTTAAGCCTTTCGGATTAATGTACGTATTTAATTAACTAATGTGTTACTAATTTAAACTATTAAACATTGCTTACAAATGTGAATAATACCTATCAACTCTAAAGTTAATATATATATACACTAGAATTTTTGACTTTGTGTGGGTTTCTGAAATAATGCCATCTATATCCTCTTTTGATTTCTGGGTTATTTCCAAATCTTCACTGATCAGATGGAATGTGTCTCCCAATCCCTTTCCTACACTGAAAAAAGGGGCAAAAAGTATAATTTAAAGAAAGAAGAGGAAAGTGAAAACATTGCTTAGCCATTACTCTTCTGTGAATTTGTCTGCAAAAAAAAAGTGTGTTTAAAATAGCATTTCAAAGATACAACCATCATCCTTTCCCCAGAGTCTTGACTGGTAGACATATTATAGTTATTTAGTCCAGGGGCTGCACTGAATTCAGCTCTGAAAATGTAACCAAGATTTATATGTTGAAGGCCTCTGCCTTTATATAGCAGGTAAATGATTCTGTAAGTAAAGATAAAGATATTCACCGAAGTTCACTTTATTCTGAACATACCTTTGCCTTTCTAGAAAGATAAATACCTTGGAGCTACCTGTATTGACAAACCTCAGTTGTCTCCCTGGAAAGCAATGACTTTTTAATTCTAATATTCATTTTCAGCGTGGAAAGACAATCTCCCCATGTGCAAGTTCTAGACGAGCAAGGACCTTATCTGGATCACTGGCATTGTGTTTCCAGTGGCTAGCATAGCACCCAGCATATAGTACCTGCACAGTAAATATTTGTGGAATGAATGCAGCCACACAAAAGAAAAAGAAATAAAATCATGAATGAATTCTGTATAATGTTGAATGGAAGAAATCAGACAGAAAAATACATACTACATTTTCCCTTTATGTGATGTTATAAAACAGATATAATTAATTGATAGTGATAGAAAGTGGTTACTTTTGGGGGGTAGTGTTTGGGTGGGAATAATGAAGGCTAATGGGATGCTGGTCATGTTCTGTTACTTGATTGGAGTGGTGGTTGCATGTATGTGTTCACTTTGTGAAAAGTCATGAAGCTATACAATTTTGATTTGTGTACTTTCCATGTTATTTTTAAGGCTTATGTAACATAAATCAATATTTTCTAGAAAAAATAATCATTGTCAAATAAAGGCAAGTAACTGGGGTTTTGAAATTTTGATCCTTTATGTTGTGGATGATCATATCTCTGGAAAATTATTTTCCATCTCTAAACATATTTTCATTTCATATTTCTGAAGATGTAAAGTGTGTAACCTCACCTCCAGGGCTTAAAGGCTTAGCTCTCTCTGTTCAGAGGCCTTTGCTCTTTTTTATCAGAATTCAGCTGATGGTAAAACAGCTCGTATAGGATTGGAGGCAGGTCTGCTATTAGGTTTTTAGCACCCATCCCTTTTCATGCCCCTAATCTTTTGAAATTTCCAAACACTTAAACAGACAAGAAAGAATAGTGGAAGAAAACCAGAAACTTCAGAGCTGTGCAATTTAGGAAAAATATGTGACATCTCCCACCATTTAAAAACCACCAGACTCACTAAATTTTCTAATTTTTTATCTTTTGTCTCCTTTCTTTCTCACCCTCATTCTCTTTTTGATAAAATGAACAAAAACATTTTAAAAAGTCTTGAACCTAGTAACTCAGAAATTCAACACAGACACATGTGCATGTATGCAGCTGTGCACACACACACACAGACACACACTTGTCTGTGGATGAAGTGATATATTTAGAAGGTAATTCACAGCTACAGTGTATGAACAGCAAAAGGTTAAAGGCAATCTAAATGCCTTACCCAGTCAAAAGGGGACTGGTTAAGTATATAAAATTTAACAACAGAAAAGTGTACATCAATAAAAAAGAATGAAGAAGCTGTCTGCATTCAAGATGTATAGATAAGTGGAATATATCTTACATAAATGGAAAATACCAGGTTCAGAACACTGTGTTTAGAATACTGTACATATGAATGCATAAATTATTCTAGGAGGATATGTAAGAAACTGAATATTTGTCTTCAGAGGAGGATTGTATATGTGGGCAGGAGAGACTTTCTCCTGTATACCCAGTGGTTTCTTTGATATTTGAACCATATTATGTATTGTCACATCAAAAGTAAAATTTTAAATGTATATAAAATAATACTTTGGGCAAGAAACCCCAATTTTGCCAAGGATGTGGAATAATGCTGGCATAAACTCACAAAGTGCTATTGGAAGGGTAAATTCAGACAACATAACAAGAAGGTAGTTTGTCAAAACATGTCAAAAGCTTCCAAATTTTCCTTTTGAATACATATTTCTGGTTCTAGGAATTTATTTTTAATAATATAACCTTGCAGTGAAGGTGTGGCTATAATGGAGCAAACTGAAGGCCTGGATTTCAGAAATATTGGGAAAAAACTAGACATATAAAATAGAGGTTCTACAATGAGAACACATGGACACAGGGAGAGGAACAACACACACTGGGGACTGCTGGGGGGAGGGCGGTGGGAAGGAGAGTATCAGGAAAAATAGCTAATGCATGTGGGGCTTAATACCTAGGTGATGGGCTAATAGGTGCAGCAAACCACCATGGCATAGGTTTATCTATGTAATAAACCTGCACATCCTGTGCATGTATCCTGGAACTTAAAATGAAAATAAAATTAACTTTAAAAATTAAAAATTAAAAAAAGTAAAATAGAGGTTCTGCATAAATTATGGTACAGCTATATATTAAAAATGCAATTTTTGAATATTTAATGACAGAGAAAATTGTTTCTAATATTAAGTGAAAAGTATATAGCACATACATCCTAATACTATTTGTTGCCAAAAATGCATCTATATAACTGTTTGTGTAGGTATGCTCACGTGTATAAAACCAAAATTTAACACTTTTATTCTAGGTAATAGAATAATGGATTTTGTTTTAAAATTTTCATTCTTATATGGATTTCCAAAAGGAATTATACTAGACTTATGTTTTATGCTGTAAAATTTATAATAAAAGAATCAGGCCAGGTGCGGTGGCTCACACTTGTAATCCCAGCACTTTGGGAGGCCAAGGCAGGCAGATCACCTGAGTTCAGGAGTTCAAGACCAGCCTGGCCAACATGGTGAACCTGTCTCTACTAAAAATACAAAAATTAGTTGAGCATGGTGGTATGTGCCTGTAGCCTCAGCCACTTGAGAGGCTAAGGCAGGAGAATCATGTGAACCCAGCTGGTGGAGGCTGCAATGAGCTGAGATCATGCCATTGCACTCCAGCCTGGGCAACAGAGACTGTCTCAAAAAAAAAAAAAAAAAAAAGAATTAATGAGGATATTTTCTAAAGATACTACAAGTAAATCCTGCTAAACTGTCCACACTGCTAAGTGTGGTCCAGGAAATTCAGCTGCATAAAGAGCAGTACTGCATTAAATTGAGGTTGATAAAATGACAGAATTGAGACTTCTGAGATGAACAAGAGCCAGTCACTTGATATGCAAAGTGGTATTGTCAAGGGATGCGTTATCACGGGCACTGTCTCCATATAGAATGTGTTAACACTTACTTTCTGAGAATTGTTACTTGCAGACTGAATTGTTTTCATTTTTGTTAGGAGGCATGTAAATATTTACCCCAAATCGAAAACAATACATACACACATAATACATATATAGCACACACATATATATATATTAATGGTGATATAATGCTTTTAGAAACTGCTTCTAATCAAATTACCCCCACAATATTATCTTTTCTTTTTTATTACTTTTTTATGAAGATGAGATTCCCATAGTGTAACATTCATCATTTTCAAGTGAACCATTTTTAAGTGAATTATTAGCATTTAGCACATTCACAATGTTGTATAACCACCATCTCTACCTAGTTCCAAAACATCTTAATTATTCCAAAAAGACACCCTGTATGCATTAAGCAGTGGCTTACCATTTCTCTCTTTCCCCAGCCCCCAGCAAACACCAATCTGCATTCTGCCTCTAGGGACTTACCTATTCTGGACATTCCATAGAAATGGAATCATGCAATACGTGGCCTTCTGTGTGTAGCTTCTTTAACATAGCATGTTTTCAAGGTTGATCTATATTGTAGCATGTACCAGAACTTCACTCCTTTTGATGGCTGAATAATATTCCATTATATGAATATATCACAGTTTGTTTCTCCATTCATCCAAGATGGACATTTTGGCTATTATTTTGGCTACTGTGAATAGTGCTGCAATGAACATTTGTGTATACATATCTGTTTAACTCCCTGATTTCAGTTCTTTTGTGTGTGTGTCGACGAGTGGAATTACTGGGTGATGTGGTACTTCTAAGTTTAACTGTGTAAGGAACCACCAAACTGTTTTCCATATGGCTGATCTATTTAAAATTCCCACCATGAATGTTCAAGTGTCCCAATATCTCCACATTCTCTCCAACACTTATTTTCAATTTTCAAAAAATAGCAATCCTAGTAGGTGTGAAATGGTATCTCACTTTCGTTTTGATATGCATTTTTCTAAATGGCAAATGACGTTAACCATAATGGCTTATTGGCCATTCGCATATCTTTAGAGAAAGAGTTATTCAAGTTCTTTCCTAACATTTTAGATGAGTTGTCTTTTTGTTGTTGAGGTGTAGGAATTCTTTATATATTCTGGATATTAGACCCTTATCAGATATATGATTTGCAAATACTTTCTCTCATCTCCAGGGTGAAAAAGGTTCTATGGATTATCTTTTCAGTTTTTTGGGAATGTCCTTTGATGTATTTGTTACTCATGTTTATATAGAGAAATATTCTTATTTTCTATTCTAATTTCAGCTAAAATAGTATCTTGGACACATTTTTGTGTTTCTACACATTATTATTATTTTAATGGCATTAGGAAGAATAGGAACCAGGTGGCTTTCAGGATTGCCTGAGTTTGTAGACTGCCTCAAACACTTTGGTAAACTTGCCTCCTCACCTCTGGTTTCTTCATCTCTCATTTCAAGCTCTCATACAACAGTATCTTACTAGCTCAGCATGGTGCGTACCCCTGGAGGGCCACAGTACTGCACAGCCCCGGTCCTCACTTCAGGACTGAGGTGCTCATTCTCCCATGGTCCAGCAAGCTGTTCTTACCAATGGGAGGGATGGCTCATGGTCTACTGTAAAATATCAAGACTACGATTGTACTCCCCCAGGTAACACTACAATGAACGGCTTCTCCTTTTGTGTTATCTCATTTGGATAAATCCTTCAGAGTCAGATTATAATAACTCCTTATTTGTATGCTGCTTTCTGGAGGATTTTGCCAATTAACAAAGTTACCAGCAATGAGAAAATGCCACTCAGAATTTTCAATATACCTGTAACTAAAAAGGAGACAGAAAGAGGCAATGTCACTGTGCTGGGAAATCTGTCAAGTAATTTAAATAAATCCTATGTTGTCCACTAATATCCATGTTCTCCTTCATCTCTAGCAATAATGATACTTAAAAACCCATAATATTATTTGAGTCATTGCTGCTGAGAAAGAAGACTATATTTCTTAACTTCTCCCATAGCTAGATATGGTCATATATTAGACACATGATTACATTCTGTCCAATAAACTGGGAACAATCAATATGGAAAACGCTTCATGCCTTTAAAAGAAAGGAGCTTGCTTTCCACTTTGCCATTGCTCTTTCTATTGGTTGGAATAAGAGCATGGTGGGAAGCCATCTTGGACAATTAAAGATGAGAATAATCAAGGGCAGATGGCAGAACCAGAAGATAGAAGGAGACTGGGCCCATGACACTGTGGAACCACCACACCAGCTCCAGACCACCATGCCTTTATTTGTTACATGGAAGATAAAGAAAAATCTTTCTTTATTTAAAGCATCAGTAATATGGTCTCTGTGATGGCAGCTGGACCTGTATCCTAACTCATACACAGTATTTGTCTTCTCATTCCATCCTTTAGTGCTATTTTTGCTATTTTAGAAATTAAGAAATTGGAGGATTGCATATATTAAGGAATTTACCCCAGGACTTCACATAACGGGGAGTCCAGATCAAATCCAGGTGCCTGATTGCAAAGTCCATGTTTCTCAGTGTTCTTTTCCTGAAGCATTTATAGTCCTTTTCTGGAATATTTTCTAATACCTATAAGCAATTCTCTGATTCTATGGTC